CTTTGAACATCTTACGAAGGCTAGTAAAACAAATCACAAAAAGTCTGTGTCTCATACCTTCATAAATTATGATATTAATAAATGACATGTATATGATAATCTAGGTAAATCTTATTGGTATAATGTAAGAGGTTGAACAAAATGTAATGAGTCATACTCATGTATTTTACGACTTGTTTACGCAAGTCTGTGACAAGCATGCAACAATTATGTCATCAACTTCGAACAACCTGAATAGGGGAAATACTGGGAGAAAACCATGGATGTTAAAATCAGTCAACAAGAACCACAACTTTTATTCTAAACTAAGAATTCTAACAGAATGACGAGGAAGAATACAAGAGTTACAGAAATGGTCTCCGAAATGCAAAGAGAGAAACGGTATTAACCTCTTCTTCAATAATAAGAATGACAATTGTAAATTGTGTCAAATCATTAACAAGTTATTGAGTGGTGGAAACGTCATGAATACAGTGACCAATTTAGATAAATTAGAAAATAGAGTGATAACATATGACAATAAAAATTTAACAAGTTTATTGAAATCATAGGCCGTAAGCTGGCAATTGAAATACCAGCAGTGAATTTTGACTTACAGAATAAGGACATAGAAGAGAAAACTCACTATTTTACAAACCAATAACAGAGGAAGAAGTGAAATGCCCTTTACAGAGCTAATTGGTGGTATCATCGCAGATATGCATAATGCCTTAACTAGTACGCAATCACCATTTAATAGTGAGTTGTAAGTTGTGCAGATGTTTTAATAGGGAAAATGGTAGGTCTAAAATACATGTTTGTATCGGGAAAATATCCGTTGAAAATGCCATTTTCGAAAACAAAATCATTGAACCAGCAAGGTCTGTATAATTATGGTCTTGTCGATTAAGTGAAATTGTAATTAATGTTAAGAATAATGTTCTTTTATCCTAGTGTTAGACCATGCTTTTTAACTTGTAAACAAAATGTGAATTTTTCTATTGTTTTGACGATCCTCGCCAAGTGCCGCAGATTCATCGCTTCATATAAGTAAACTTCATTTATGGGTATTTTTTTGTATGTCACCAACTTTTCCGAGCAAATTCATTGAAAAGCTTTTCAGTAGTGCAAAATAGAAGCGTTAACTGTCCAGTAATAGGTTAACGCTTAGTACAATATTTTCCATCAAACTTGTCAGAATGATTTGAAAGAGAACTCGTTCGCCTTCGCTAATAGATACTGCATGGTGCAAATAACAAACATGCCAAAACATGGTTACACATACACGTCTACTGACCATACCAACTTACAACATAAATATTATATTTACCTTTTTGTTTAAAATTGTCATATAATGGAAAATCAATTAGCCCTTTAAGTCAAAATAAAATCATTATAATCAGGTATCATACATAAATTATATCTTCTATCAAACTTGGATTTCTGAACATATTTGGCACTTTGGCAGATTTATGTTTCAAGTTTAAAGGGGAAAAACGCCACCCGGCCATATTGCAAAGACCTAGACAGTTTCAAAAATTTAGCTTCAGAGGGGGGAATGCCCTCCTCAGCCACCCCCTGCGCTTGCAATTGAAGCTGGCGCGTTCTGACGCTAAGGCGTGAGCGTAAGGGGCGGCAGGGCGACTTACAAAGTGGGGGGGGGGCACCCCAAAAAAGGGCACCTACAGAGTGAAATCTCAAAGCGAAAATATACATTTGTTTAGACACTGGTAGGTATATACCCCTACACTGTGATGATCTTACTTGTTTTTCTTTATATATTATACAATATATTGCAGCTAGGTGAGATGGTCTGAATATTCATTTGCGAGCGAGCAAAGCGAGCGATAATAAAAAGTAAGATCTGTGAGGTCGCAGTGCGAAAAATTACATGTTATAAAGAGGAAACCCCCAATCATGATGGGGTTATAAGCACATTCTCATAACGGCAGACTAAAAAGACCTTGAGTAATAAATTAATTGTATCATCTATAAATCAGTGGCGGATCCAGGGGGGGCCGAAACGGCCGCGGCCCCCCCTATTGGCGGCGCAAAAAAAAGGGGAAAAAAGAGGAAGAACGAAGAGAAAAAAAGAAAGGAGAAGAGAAGAAAAAAAGGAAAAGAGAAAAGAAAGGAGAAGAGAAAGAGAAAAAGGAGAAAAGAAAAAGAAAAAGAAGCCCCCCCCCCCCCCCCCACTCCCTCCCACTCCAGGGTCAGAGGTTCCAAATTTGTGTTCCCCAAATCTCCGATAAAGGGTTACTTTTCATGCAACAAAGTCCGGCCCGTAATACACAAAAATTAACGATAGGGCCGCTTCACAACTCTTATTTTGCCCTTCATTTGGATTCAGCTCATACCAACTCGCTCGTACATATTGTCCTTAGGGATTTTCTAGAATGCATAATGTCTACATTGCAAAATCTCGCTTGGCCGCTACGCCCCGGACCTCGCCCGATAACACAAAACTATGATATGATGCTCCCGGCCGTGATTTATCCATGGTTGGTGTAACAGATCTTTTTTCTTCTTTCATTTTTACTAACTTAATTGAGTGCTATCACAATCATGATTGTTTCATTTTCCCTTTAAAGCAGGCGCGTAGACAGGGGCGGTAGGGGCAGTAAGAGGACAGGACGAAAAAGGAGCAGACAAAGAAACATTTTTGAAAATTCTGACAAGTCGAGAACAGTAGGCCTACAACGAATCGTCTTCTTTCTCTAATAATTTAATGAAACGTAAGCTTCCACGCAGGCCGGGACTCAATTCAGACAAGGATAAAGAGTTGTGAACGGTACAACGAATCGTCTTCTTTCTTGAATAATTTAATGAAACGTTAAGCTTCCACGCAAAGCGCGGGAGGCCGGGACTCAATTCAGACAAGGATAAAGAGTCAAGAACGGTACAACAAATCGTCTTCTTTCTTGAATAATTTAATGAAACGTTAATCTTCCACGCAAAGCGCGGGAGGCCGAGACTCAATTCAGACAAGGATAAAGAGTCGAAAATGGTACAACAAATCCTTTTCTTTCGTTCATAATTTAATGAAACATCGAAGCTGCCAATCTCCGCGCGGGAGGGGGAAGACTGCTTTCAAACAAGGCTTAAGAGTCGAGAATGGTACAACGAATCATCTTCTTTCTCTAATATTTTAATGAAACGTTAGGCTTCCGCGCTTTGCGCAGGGGGGGGGGTGGGAACTGAATTCAGAGAAGGATTAAGAGTCGAGAATGGAACAACGAATCATCTTCTTTCTCTAGGAATTTCATTAAACTATGAAAGGTCAAAGCTTCCGCGCAAAACGGGGGGAACTGAATTCAGACAAGAAATAAGAGTCGAGAATGGTACAACAAATTGTCTTCTTTCTCTAATAATTAATGAAAGGTCAAAGCTTCTGCCCTTCGTGCGTAATGGGGGAGGGGGGACAGCAAGCTGTTTGAATATGAATTTTTGATATCTTTCCTCGTTTATTTTGGTGATAAATAACACTTTCACAAAATACATATTATGCTCAAATTTTTGCTCGCTCGCTTCGCTCACTAGCCGATTTGTGAAACCACAAAATTATTTGTTGGGGCTAGAGGCTATAGCCCCCCCCCCCCCCCCACGATGAAAATGTCAAAAATTGTACAGGTATAATTATAATAATAATAATAGTGGCTACTTGTCAGTTTTGGTATGCTGAGTTGAAAAAAAATGTCTGTGCAATTTTCAAATTTCCGCCCCCCCCCCCCCTATTGGAAAATCCTGTATCCACGCCTGTATAAATGCGAGCGAGCGAGCTGTGGGGGAAATTACTCCTAGTCGCTTTAAATTAGGGGCATGTTTATATATTAAGGTCAAGGTACAAAGTCTAAATATCCAAGTTTAAAATGGGGCACTTCTTATACCTGAAAGGAGGCACTCTCCAGAGATGAAAAGGGGCACTTATGAGAATGGGAAATGGGCATGTGTCGACTGAAAAGGGGCATCCATCAGAATTTGATAGAGGTATTTATTAGAGGTGAAAAGGAGCATTTATGGGCACGTGTCAAAATAAAGGGGCAGTTATCAGAGGTAAAAATGGGCACCCATCAGAGATGAAAAGAGTACTTATCAGGAGGGGAAGGGATACTTTTCAAAGTAAAATGAGCATCTCTCAGATATGAATAATGGGGCAATTATCTAAAGTGAAAAGAATGAACTTCTTGTATTTGAATATTTACCAGAAAAGAAAAGGGACACTTATGAGAATGAAAGGGACAATTTTCATAAGTGAAAATGGGCATTTATGAGAAGGGGATGGGGCTCTTTTTTAAAATGGCCTTTATCATAAGGAAAAGGGGCCCTGTTTAGAAAGGAAAGAGGGCATATGTGTAAACAAAAGGTGCCCTTATCCGAGCTAAAAATGGGTAGCTCTAAAAGGGGCAATGTACCCACCCTGCGCCTCTGCGCGTCAGTAAATCATCTCCCCTATATGTTAACAACAGATCTTCTCCAGTGCATACTACCATGGATAAATCAAGGCAGGGAGCGTGGGCGGAATGTCATAGGCCTATCATTGTTTTGTGTTATTGGGTGAGGGAGCGTAGCGACCAAGCGAGATTTCGCAATTTTGAATGCTGAAATTATGTATTCTAGAAAACCCCAAAGCTAGGATCGCCGCTCGCTCCTGTCCATGATAAATACCAACATGAGTTCAAATACCAAGCGAGTTGGCATGGGCTGATGCAAAATGAGTAATATAATAATAAAGTAAAAGAGTGCATTCATGGACTTGATTTAACCCCCTCCCCCCCCCTAAAAAGGGAATTGAAAAGCAATAGACAGATAGCTGTCCTTTAAAATTCAGCAGTTAACAGGTTGTATCGTTTGTGAAATACATCTCTATTTATTTATTTTTGCCACAAAACCCAAAACATTTTAATTTTTTATGTTTTATACCAACAGTCCAGAGAAAAGTACAGATTGCCAGCATAAATTTAATGGAGTAACTTAACACTAATATGTCCCTGAAGCGACACCCCTATCCTTTCTTTTGTTACCTTGACAGAAATCGGAGGCGAAATCAGGCCCGAAGGAGGTGCAAAATTCTATGGAACAACTCGGGAGTTCCGGCTGCGGTCCACATGGATCTATTGGAAAGAAAAAAGAAAACAAAGTTGTTGACAGTAGAATCGTTTTCCTTATGTGATCTATCGAACATAACAAAACACAATCAACACCAAAAAAAAAAAACAATCGGAGGCGGCCCCCCAAAAAAGGAGCGGGCCCCCGGGGTCGCCAAACATGTATATTTGTTTAAATGGCCTAGGAACATAATATGGTGTCAGGATTTGGCAGCCGGTGTTTGGCAGCCGGTGTTTGTGCAGAGCAACCCAGCCTAGCTATGTGGAGGAATCATTGAAATCAGTCCAGTTCAGTCCAATTCTTCTTTGTGACGTGAGAGATGATGAGAGGGCTAAGAGTCCAAGTGTATGTCTACTGAATTTAGTTAAATGTCCATAATAGTTGGCGCTGTCGTTGTATGGATTGGAGTGCAAAGTTCTACGCTGGGCCATTTTCTATGGTGGCTCCTAAGGGACACGAAAACGCATGAATTTGACGTATACCTATGCTTGGTAATGTTTTCATTTTTTACGTCCAAGACGTTAAAAAAAAATTGACGTATACCTATGCAACAAATTGTTTGTCTTTTACGCCCAAGACGTGAAAATAAAAAAAATAGACATATACCAGACGTGAATATTTGACGCAGATTTTCCACACGATTTTCACGTCTGCGTGTCCCTTCAGGGTTAGTACAGAAAAATGAAAACATTACCAAGCAAAGGTACACATCATTTTTTTTAATTTTCACGTCTTGGCCGTAAAAGACAAACAATTTGTTGCATAGGCATACATCAATTTTTTGATTTTCACTTCTTGGACGTAAAAACAAAAAATATTTGTTGCATAGGTATACGTCAATTTTTTGCGTTTGCGTGTCCCTTAGGAGCCACCATACTTTCCAGTCTAACGGGCAGTAAGAGTGACATCGATGTAACATGAACATACAGAATAACTCATCAGTGAAAGTTTAATAATTGAGCTTAAAGTAATTGTTGCAAAGATACAAAAAAGCTACTTGTTATGCTGTTCATGTAAGTGAATACGTACAATAGACTAAAAAACAAAAAGATACAAAATGGCAGACATGGCAAATCTAATCAGGGCTGTAACCAGAGTTTGATGTGTTTTTTTTTTTTTGGGGGGGGAGGGGTCTACAAAAGTTCAACCAATCTTGGAAATTGTTTGGGGGCACGTTCCCCCCCCCCCCCCCCGTGGCTACGGGCCTACTGCCAATATCTCATAAACCGATCCCAACACGCAGTACTGCAAGATAAACAATCTATAATTCACTATAGCCATGTTCTCTCGACATACCAGCTAGAACTCAAAATTAGCTTTAAGGAAACATTTTCAATCTGTTTTAATAGAAATATCTAGAGTAAAAGAGTGCATTTATGCACTTAATTTAACGCCCTTCCCCCCCCCCCCCCTTAAAAAGAGATTAAAAAGCAATTGACAGGTAGCTGTCCTTTAAAATTCAACAGTCAACAGGTTGTATCGTTTGTGAAATACATCTCTATTTATTTATTTTTGCCACAAAACCCAAAACATTTTTTAAATATTTTGTTTATACCAACAGTCCAGAGAAAAGTATAGATTGCCAGCATAAATTTAATGGAGTAACTTAACACTAATATGTGCTTCTAGCGACACCCCTATCCTTTCTTTTCTTACCACAGAAAGCCAAGGCGAAATTAGGCCCGAAGGAGGTGCAAAATTCTATGGAACAACTCGGGAGTTCCGGCTGCGGTCCACATGGATCTATTGGAAAGAAAAAAGAAAACAAAGTTGTTGACAGTAGAATCGTTTTCCTTATGTGATCTATCGAACATAACAAAACACAATCAACACCAAAAAAAAAAAACAATCGGAGGCGGCCCCCCAAAAAAGGAGCGGGCCCCCGGGGTCGCCAAACATGTATATTTGTTTAAATGGCCTAGGAACATAATATGGTGTCAGGATTTGGCAGCCGGTGTTTGGCAGCCGGTGTTTGTGCAGAGCAACCCAGCCTAGCTATGTGGAGGAATCATTGAAATCAGTCCAGTTCAGTCCAATTCTTCTTTGTGACGTGAGAGATGATGAGAGGGCTAAGAGTCCAAGTGTATGTCTACTGAATTTAGTTAAATGTCCATAATAGTTGGCGCTGTCGTTGTATGGATTGGAGTGCAAAGTTCTTCGCTGGGCCATTTTCTATGGTGGCTCCTAAGGGACACGAAAACGCATGAATTTGACGTATACCTATGCTTGGTAATGTTTTCATTTTTTACGTCCAAGACGTGAAAACAAATTGACGTATACCTATGCTTGGTATTGGTTTTCATTTCTTACGTCCAAGACGTGAAAAATAAAAAAATTGACGTTTACCTATGCTTGGTATTGGTTTTCATTTCTTACGTCCAAGACGTGAAAAATAAAAAAAATTGACGTTTACCTATGCTTGGTATTGGTTTTCATTTCTTACGTCCAAGACGTGAAAAATAAAAAAATTGACGTTTACCTATGCTTGGTATTGGTTTTCATTTTTTACGTCCGCAAGACGTGAAAAATAAAAAAATTGACGTTTACCTATGCTTGGTATTGGTTTTCATTTCTTACGTCCAAGACGTGAAAAACAAAAAAATTGACGTATATCTATGCAACAAATTGTTTGTCTTTTACGCCCAAGACGTGAAAAAAAAAAAAAAAAACATATACCAGACGTGAATATTTGACGCAGATTTTCCACAGGATTTTCACGTCTGCGTGTCCCTTCTGGGCTAGTACAGAAAAATGAAAACATTACCAAGCAAAGGTACAAGTTATTTTTTTTAATTTTCACGTCTTGGACGTAAAAGACAAACAATTTATTGCATAGGCATACGTCAATTTTTTTTTATTTTCACTTCTTGGACGTAAAAACAAAAAATATTTGTTGCATAGGTATACGTCAATTTTTTGCGTTTGCGTGTCCCTTAGGAGCCACCATACTTTCCAGTCTAACGGACTAAGAGTGACATCGATGGTACAAGAACATACAGAATAACTCATCAGTGAAAGTTTAATAATTGAGCTTAAAGTAATTGTTGCAAAGATACAAAAAAGCTACTTGTTATGCTGTTCATGTAAGTGAATACGTACAATAGACTAAAAAACAAAAAGATACAAAATGGCAAACATGGCAAATCTCAGGTCAACCTCCTACACTCGACTTAAAGGAAAATATTTCCGAGAACGTCTACTGTAGAAAAGTTTGAAACAGAAATTCACTGTACACAATGTTGCCTCAGGAATGTCTGGTAAAGATGAAAAGTCACAAACATCAATGCTTCTACAAGTGATTGGCGATGCTGCCTTAATTGTGGAGGGTGAGAGCATGAAGCTTGAGAATGTGTAGAACAAATATGAGGAATATTGCATGCCGAAACATAATTCTGACCCAATAAAGGCAATAAACAAATTCACGTGAAAATCGACTCAATATCAAGGTATCGACTCAATGACATTTACGTGATTGTGTTAACACGTTTATTGCACTAGAACACTTAAAAAACTTGTACACTAAATCACGCAATTGTCATGGCTTTCTTTGTTACCTATTTCACAGAAGCCTTCTGCGTTGCAAGGTACTCCTCCGGGACAATCAGACTGGTCACTTAGCGGATCACATCGAACTATTGGAAAGAAATAAGAAAACACAGTTGTTGACAATAGAATCTATTTCTTTATGTGATCTATCGAATATACAGTAGTGAGATATAAAGTGGATGAGACAACCAATTAATGTGAAGCTTTAAAATTCCTTGTTCCTCCTATATATTTGATGCTTCCTTTTCTGTATCTCCGGGAAGCTCCAACACCGGCGCTGGTGTTGGAGCTTTCCCGGAGTTACCTTTATCTGTGGAAAGTACTAGGCCCTACACAGCTTTCAAAAGCTTGTCTACGCTGGAATCGAGACCTAGTCTTAATACCGGACATGTCAAACATGTTTCCATATGCACTTATACTAACTGTAGTGATAGCTACTTAAGAAAGTCTGCGAAAACAGACCCCCCCCCCCCCTGGGAATAAAAACGTGTAAAAACACGTGATTTTTAGCTTTTGGGGGGGTGCCCCCCCCCCCTTGAGCGCCACTGGCTCAACTAACCTGAGTCTCCCCTTGTTTCATATAAACTAACCTGGCATAAATCATGGGTTGCAGGTCATAGTTACACATGCTGGTCTGTTTTCGCAGACTTCCTTAACTAGCTTTCACTACAGTTAGTATAAGTGTATATAGAAACATGTTTGACATGTCCAGTATTAAAGAGAAGGTTGAGTTCTGGGAAGAGGTGGAAAATAATTTGTGAGCGTAATCATTCTTATTATGCGAGTGTGGAAGAACATCAGATAAGACATGTTCCCTGAAAAGCATGGCTCTCAAATGCCTACATATTCTAAATTATGTCAAGTAACATCGTAAAACTTGGGGGGTAGGATTTGTACGCCGCGTGTTCGTGTTGTCCCATATACATCTTTCTGTGTACAGTGTTTGTAACTTTACCAAGACTTGGCCAAATTTCTTATCATTTTGATGATTTCAGGACCTTGCAATACACACAAGTTCTTAGATGATCAACCTTTTCTGGTCGATTCCACATCGTTTCTTTCACAATGCAATCGCATGACCAGAACTCAACTTCATCTTTAAGACTATAGGTCTCGATTCCGACGTTTGAAAGCTGTGTAAAAACTGGCGCTCAAGGGGGGGGGGGGGGGGGGGGGGGGGGTGGTGCAAATTTGCAAATTTTCGGGAGCAAAAAAAGAAAAAATGCCCCCCCCCCCCCCCCCCCCGAGAAATCCTGGATCCGCGCCTGAGTTGAGCTGGTTGGTTGGTTGAGCCACCCCCACTAAAATTGTATGGATTGTAGTGCAAAGTTGTGCGCCGGGCTATCTCCAATCTAACGGGCAGTAAGCGTGACATAGATGGGACATGAACATACAGAATAACTCATCAGTGAAAGTTCAATAATTGAGCTTAAAGGTAAATACCAGTTCTGGTCATGCGATTGCATTACTTGTGAAAGAAACGTTGTGGAATCGATCAGAAAAGGTTGATTATCACAAACAAGTTGCGATTGATATCAACTCTTTGTAAGACGGGGCCCTGATGACTCGTTTGATGTTGGGCTCAATGACAATAACACTAATTTAAAACCTCCCTCATAACGAAAGAGCTTGAAAACGGCAATCTTTACAGATATCTTCATCGGGAAAAAAATATATTCGACAATTACGATGCAAGTAGTGATTTTTCAAGGCAAATTGTTTTACAATGGTAAACTTCTACTTAAATTCAAGTGGGTCTTTTTGTTCAAAAAATAAAAAAGACGACAATAGGTTCATGAACAAAACGAATCAAACAATTACTTCACCTGCACACACCGATATATGCACACACTTGCAATTTCCTTTTCTGGTTCTGGATTTTACTCCGACAAAGCGGGATCCCGCAAATTTTTATTTAGATTCTTTCTGCATTTTTTTGCCTATGGAAGGTGTATTTCTACATGACAGTGTTTTTTAAGCAGTATCTCGCTTATTTTTTTGCTCCATTTTCTTCCGAGTTTTGATATAATAGTTGAGACTATCGGCTATAGGGGCGTGCCTTTTGTCTTTTGAACTCATATTAGGATCATGTCAAAATTTACAATTGAAAGTTGAAATTGCGACTATGCCAAGGCAATTTGTCAGCTGTGCATGTAAAGTCTATGAGAAATATTTTGGTCCATCGGTTAAAGCATTTGCCTCCCATTCAATCAACCTAGGTTCGAAGGTTCGATTCCCGGTGGGTTAATTTTTTTGTGGTTCCATTTCACATTTGATTTTATCACCTTCTTTGCCTATCATAACATATACAATCACAAACAATGTATAAAATGCCTAATTTTGTGTGTTATTTCTTTGGGAGATGCATGTCAATAGTTTGCGCCTATGGGAAATCGGATTCCTCGTTGTTGATTAAACCTATAGGGTTAATCTCCCAAGTTTAAAACAATATCAAATCGTCCCATTTATATGATGCAAGTCTCCTTTCCAGACGTTTATATTTTTCAGTTATTCAGCCCATGTAATATGCAATATTTACGTCTCTCCCTCGGACATTTACATGTCTATACTTCTCTCTTTCTATTTTCAATTCTATTAATGCTGGAATGCATCGTTTTCCATTGCATCTCTCTCTCCTCTCTCTTACTCTGTTTCCCTTCTCCTCACTTGTTTTGCCCCCTCTCCTTCTCTTGCTCTGACTCTGCATATCTCTCTCTCTCTCTCCCTCTACCTTTTCACCCTATACCTCTCTCTTTCTCCATCTACCTCTCGTGTCTTACCACCTTCTTCTTCTCTTGCTATGTCTCGGTCCCTCTGCCTCTGCCCTTCTCTTTAAGGAACATTACAAGACATACAAGCGGGAGAACGAGAATCAGAGACGGGAAAGGGGGAAGGTGAGAGAGAAGAAAAAGAGAAGGGCAAAGGCAGAGGGATACATAGCAAGAGAAGAAGAGGGAGACAAGGCAAGAGAGGTAGATTGAGAAAGAGAGAGGTAGAGGGTAAAAGAGTAGAGATAGAAAAGGTACTATGTCCCATCTGCAGGCCAAAAAATGAAAAGGTTAAATTCCAACGGCATTTGAAAGATAATACTAATTTAGAACTTCCCTTAAAAAAAAGGGGGGGGGGGCTTGAAAATGTCTTTAAGTGGGGAAATAACGACTATTAGTTGTCGAATCGACTTAAGTGCTACCAAGTCAGTAAGTAATAGTCTGATTTTCAGACCATTGTACCGAATGGTGGTACGTATTGTGCTGCGCAAAGATTCAATCAGTTTAATTTTGGCCATGACAAGAAGTGGGTTATTGATGTAGACAAATAAATGCTCATGTACCCTTTACAGCTCATTTTATGTATGTTATTACCCCAATAAAGAGAAAAAGCCAGTCACTCACTCAATAGTACTAGGGGCTTTTCGTTTGTGTGGACGAGGACGGCGTTCACGTCCTCTAACGATGCAAATTGACGTCAGACACCCGTCCTGTTCACTACCTTATAACCCTTTTCGTTTTAAGTTGACACACGTTCTCTACACGATGACGTAATGGCCCCGCACGCGCTTATTCATTTTCTCCTTCTTTCACTTCTTATTTTGTTCTTCTTTTATTATTCTATTATACTCTCTCTATTTTTCTTATGATATTCTTTGTTTTTCCTTCTTCCATCTTCTCTTCTATCTTTCCATTGTCTATTCTTTATCATTTTCTCTTTCTGTCTTTCCTAATGTTATTGTTGTTGTTATCATTCTATCATTTTTCTTTCTATCTTTCCTCATATTATTCGTTGTTTCTTCCTTCTATCAACTTCTCTTAAGTTATTCTTTGTTTTTATCATTCTATCACTTTCTCTTTTTGTATTTCCTTATGTTATTCTTTGTTTTTTCCTTCTTTCACTTTCTCTTCAGTCTTTCCTTATGTTATTCTTTGTTTTTTCCCTTCTTTCACCTTCTCTTTCTGTCTTTCCTTATGTTATTCTTTGTTTTTTTCCTTCTTTCACCTTCTCTTTCTGTCTTTCCTTATGTTATTCTTTGTTTTTTCCCTTCTTTCACCTTCTCTTTCTGTCTTTCCTTATGTTATTCTTTGTTTTTTCCTTCTTTCACCTTCTCTTTCTGTCTTTCCTTATGTTATTCTTTGTTTTTTCCTTCTTTCATCTTCTCTTTCTGTCTTTCCTTATGTTATTTTTCGTTTCTTCCTTCTTTCATCTTCTCTAATGTTATTCTTTGTTTTTTCCTTCTGTCACCTTCTCTTTCTGTCTTTCCTTATGTTATTCTTTGTTTTTTCCTTCTTTCACTTTCTCTTCAGTCTTTCCTTATGTTATTCTTTGTTTTTTCCCTTCTTTCACCTTCTCTTTCTGTCTTTCCTTATGTTATTCTTTGTTTTTCCCTTCTTTCACCTTCTCTTTCTGTCTTTCCTTATGTTATTCTTTTATTTTTTTTCCTTCTTTCACCTTCTCTTTCTGTCTTTCCTTATGTTATTCTTTGTTTTTTCCTTCTTTTACCTTCTCTTTCTGTCTTTCCTTATGTTATTTTTTGTTTTTTCCTTCTGTCACCTTCTCTTTCTGCCTTTCCTTATGTTATTCTTTGTTTTTTCCTTCTTACACTTTCTCTTCAGTCTTTCCTTATGTTATTATTTGTTTTTTCCCTTCTTTCACCTTCTCTTTCTGTCTTCCCTTATGTTAGCCTTTGTTTTTCCTTCTATCATCTTCTCTTATGTTATTCTTTGTTTTTATCATTCTATCACACTTTTTTTCTGTCTTTCCTTATGTTATTCTTTGTTTTTTAATCATTCTATCAATTTCTCTTTCTGTTTTTACTTCCTGATTTACGCTGCGATGTAGCAAGATGACGTCATTCTGACGACGGTTCACTAGTTTTCTGACGAACCTCAAATCATCGATGAACGGGTTCGCAAATGTGGCCTGACGACGCCAGACGACCCGACGCATGCGCAGATCGCGGAAATGACGTCACATATTAGACGTCGACTATGTCAACGTGACAAACGAAAAACCCCTAGTGTCTGACAGTGAAGTCGGGTTTCCTTGCATAATTTGAATATTAGGAAACTGCTAACATTTAAATTTCACAGATAGGATATTCATAATTCCTGCAATGTTCTACAGAATTTGATGTTGGCTGCAAAAGGGACATATCTTTAATTTTCTCTAGCTCTTCTCTTCACCCTTTGTATTCTTATTTAACCCCTGTGATGTTTCCTTTCTATCCTCTCTCCTTCCGAGTGCGTGAATTCTGATTCCTCTTTTATCCCTCTGTCCAGCTCATGTATTTTTACATGACTATAGTATCCTCTCTTGTTCTGCCCCTCTCCTTCTATTGTCCTATCTCTGCATCTCTCTCTCCCTACTCCTTCGCTCTCTCCCTCTACCTCCCTTGCCTTGTCTCCATCTTCTTCTCTTGCTATGTCTCCCTCTGCCTTTGTCCTTCCATTTTTCTTCTCTCCCACCTTCCCCTTCCTCGCCTCTGATTCTCGTTCTCCCTCTTGTATGTCTTGTAATGGTCCTTAATTTTCTCTAGCTCTTCCCTTTCCCCTTTGTACGTACTCTCATTTCACCCCTGCCATGTTTCCTTTTTATCCTCTCTCTTTCGAAGTGCATGCATTCTGATTCCTCTTTATCTCTCATTGTCCTGCTCATGGATCTTTTTACATGACTATATACGCCGTCTCCCTCTCTCCTTCTCTTTATCTATCTAATGCCATATTTTTCTCTCTCTCTCTCTCACTCTCTCTCTCTCTCCTTCTCTCTTCATCTCTCCATATGAGATCCGTAACAAAACCCCTCCAGACTACATCATTCGTCTTCAGTGACGAATTCATATCACGTTTTTGTTAATAGCGGTATAACTTAAAGGGCAAGTCCACTCCAAAGATAACTTACTTTCAATATAAGCAGAAAAATCAGACAAATCAATCAAGAAAAGTTTGAGCAAAATCGGGTAACTCATAAGAAAGTTATGAATATTGAAAAAGAATGTAAAACTAAAGAATTATGGAAATCCCTACACAAATTGCCAATTTGGTTATCAGTTTGTGACGTCATGTCCTCACTATTTACCAATTGCTTTATATAGTTAGATCACATTAATTTTTCGTTTTATCCCCAAAAACTTGATGTCCCCATGCCTTCGCCCAGGTGATGATTTGTATCATAATGCGTGCATGACATTGCACAAAATCTTTGATGAACTTTACCTTACCCCATGCAAGGACAAAGTTTACTCTCAACACTTTAGTTTGCACTGGACCAAGGTTTTGGAACACTCTTGACTCAAGCATTAGCCATTCTGTCAGTATATCTGTCTTCAAACGTAAACTGAAATTGTACTTATTGAATAATTACTTAGTTGTTTCTTAATCTGTAGTGTCGTGATTTATATTTGAACTTAATCCATTCCCCAATTTACTACTGTATAGCAACTGCCGACTTACCTTTTCCTTTTTCTTTCCTTTCTCGTCTGTAGCTAGTGTAACCCGAATGTCACAATTTCCCAGGTCCATAAATAAAGAAATTACACTTGAGGTTACGTTTTAACAAAATAACCTGGCAATGCCTTTATTAGCTCGTTGTCAATAACAACTGCAAATCAAGTAAACATTGAAATAAACAAAACTTCCACAACTTACAACTATAACATTATAAGGTATTATAACTTATAACTAAACCGACTATTATCTAAATATTAAAGTAACCAAATTATTAAATGTTCATGAACTCGCTCGCGATACGCGGTTGATCAATATATCCGGCGTCTCTGTGTCGTTGAAGAGGACGTCGCAGCACGCAGAACACAGGAACAAGTTGAACGATAGCTTGAAGCTTGATGAATTTCATCAATTAAAAGACTCTTGTAAAAGTCCTAGTAAAAGACTGATCTAGTAAAAGATCCACCTAGTAAAAGAGGATAATAAACAGAACTCTTCTAACAAAACGTTCCTTAAGAGAGGGAAAGATATATATATATATATATATATATATAACAAGCTCGTATCTCAATAGATTAAATAAAGGAAAGAATGAGAGTTTGCCTCTTGATTTATCTAATTAACTTTGGAAGAATCAATGCGATTCTGTCAACTAATTTACTCATTATACATTGGTTCAATTCATGATTAACATGATACAATCCTTTTCAAAATAGTACTTATCCCATGTTAATAATATATATAATATGTATACATCACAATAACTGTATGCAATGAAGATGGCATAGTGCACCAACTGTTCAGTAGAGTTTTCATTCATATCATTATGAACTATAATGAATGCGATATGGATGCCACAGATAGATAGCTCGATCTATCTGACTGACGGTTGATTTAGAATTTGCCAAAACAACATGTGACTTTTACAATCAATGGAAAAGTCCAGCAATTGAATATGCAAAATAATGCTCCACGTAGAGCATAACTATAATGAACAGCAGATACATATTACCAGTACATCAGTAGAGAAGGTTAGTAAATCTTATCTACAAACAAGTATTTCAAACTACCAAAACTCTTCATAAATCTTTTCTTAACAGCCTGCCTCTGTAATAGCAGCTGGCTTAATAGAATCAGAATCAGTATACTAACTGCAAAATAATCTTACATATAATCTTTTCTTCTCATTTAACTGAATTGTTTGATCAGCAGAAAGAATCAATCTTGTATAACATACAACTGCATTAAAAGTTATATAATGTATGCTACAGTCTCAAACTACACTCAGAGTTATACAAGCAAAATATAGATACCATCATGATATACACACACGTCATACAACAGAATAATGAAAGCATACATAGCAAAAGATAGTGTTCTTACCTAGTAAAAGAGCCAACACTTGCTTGAATATAAAATCAGGAACTGGGATGATAACCAACTCAATAATGTTGAAGTTGGATGAAATGCCCAATGAAATATAACACAGGAAACTCTCTTAAACTTAGAGAAGCTTGAAGAATATAAAATTGATATATACGTTTTGTATATGTTTCGAAGAAGAAAATCAGGTAGAGGCTACAGATATATTTAGTAGCACATGCTCCAATATGGAGATTGAATATATACAGGGTAGTGTTCGAAGCAATGGCAGCTGGGCAGAGAATGAGTTGGAAACTTAAAGTGTCAAAGTTGTATTAAACTGTCCAGACCCACATTACCCTTCCTTCCAACTAGACGTCTTATTGGTTACCTAACATCATGTGATAGGACCAAGCTTGCATCCTTAACTAAAACAACCCATCCTTTGTCTCAAACCCAATACTCCAAGCCAGCTCTCTACAGCATGGTCTTAAAGCTCGCCTTTTCTTAGTACAACCACTTTAAAACTATACCTGAATACAGAGATTAACAGTAGCAACATCCTGAAGGGACACAATCTACCTGCAAACACCACTTAAGAAAAGAGGGTCCTATTAAAGGGAGTAGACAAAGGGGAAAGGGCACCGAATTCTGTGGGAGACAATATAATCCCAAACACTGTGTCCAGTGCTATTGATGGTCACAGCTCTAGCAAATAAGTTATCTACCAGCAAGAGTTCTTAAACTGGGAGAAGAAAATAATCTGGGTGAGAACAAACCTATATTGCACTAAACTGCATAAGGAGCACAAAGCAGAGTTTGTTTCTTAGAAGTATGAGATGAAATGAAAGGATAGAAAGAGAGAGAGAGAGAGAGAGAGACGAGAGATAGAAAGAGAGAGAGAGAGAGATAGAGATAGAAAAAGAATAAATAACAAAATATTGCTTTAGTAATTGCCATTTTTATGGGGGTTACACTAGCTTTCAGTTTACAGTGAAAGTATTTTTTTTTCTTTCTCCCCCCACTCGAGCTCTCCCTCTCTTTCCCACTCCCGCCCCTCTCTTCATTTCTATATCCCACATCATTATCACTCTTATCTCCCCCTTTTGTACATAGTCTCTTCTCCCCACCCTTTTTTATTACTCAGTTAAACCATGTGTATAATCATATGGTTATTGTTTACGTATTTTATTTTAGTACTTAAGCGCCTTTGACGAACATTTCTTTTATTAATCTATTATATAACCAGGCTGTTCTTGTTGTTTATGTTATTGTTTTTGAGGGACCTGACCTCTACAAGCTAAGCTTTAATTAGGTCTCCTCGTCTTTTCTTCTTTTGTTTTCTCATGTAAATGCATTGTGTGAACTTTATTCTTATAAGTGTTCCTCTTATATACTTTGCATGTTATACATTTGTTAAATTGTATTACATTTATGTTGGAAGAAAGACAAATAAACTTGAACTTGAACTTGAACTTGAACTTGAAGAATTGATACAATTTTGTGAATAATGTATATTCATAACTATTGACTTTTATCTTAATAGATTATCAAAATTCAGATTTCATGATTTAATTGTAAAAAAATACTCTATAGTAGTGCATCCACACAAAAACACATTACCATCGATCTAACTTGGATGCTGGTGTGAAGAAATAAGATTCTTGGGGGAAAAATTTATATTATCAAGATAAAGAAAACAATTAGTGGACAGTTAAGACTTGACGTCACAGACTCATAAGTGAGTTTCCAGTTTATCTTGTGCTTTTCATTGTTCCATAGTTTTACATACTTTTTCAAAAATTCTTTCTTATTAATTCTTGAGGATGTTGATTATATACTGCAGGCAGAACCGACCTCGGATCTGCAATATTGTCCCGGAATATTGTCACACATAATGTTTGTTTGTTTACATAGATAGAATTTTATCAGTAATATGGAAAACTAATTCGTACTCTTTATTTCCAAAAGAGAAAAGTTCTGGTTACGGTATACAGAGACTGATCAAAGGGAACATATTACTGGAGTAAGATGTGTGATCATTATTACTTACCCTTACAAACAGGAGCGTCATCATTGTACTGTCCATTATTACAGGTGAGCGTAGATTCACCAATGAGCGTGAAATCCGCGAAAAAACATTCAAAAGTTAAAACATCGCCGTCGTCGAAGGTTCCAGATCGACTACCGAAGGCTGGCGTACCCGGGTCTTCACAGCCTTGAAAATGAAGAAGAAAAAAACTAGTAAGAAAGAATGATGGAACGCGAAGCTGTATAATGGTCAGTGCATGTTCTTGGCCAGTGGCGTTACTACAGAATGGGCATGAGGATTGGGGGCCCATGCCGAATGGTAAAGTAGGGAAACACTGGAGAGAAAAAAATTGAGTAAGAAATATGATTCCAGTGCCCTCTCAATGCCCATACCCACAATGCAATACTGTTCATCACAACAAATCAAGCAAACTAACAAACAAGGCGCCCAATTCTTGGTATATACCTACTTTATTGCTTCATATTCATTCATTCATTCATTTCATTTATTTCATTCTCCATAAAAACATAAAAACATAAAAACATGGTATACAAATAAAAGATCGATTACAAGAAAAATACAAAGGGAAGGAGCAAACAAAATTTTATGGGAATGTGGGGTTAACAAAAAGGACAATTAGCTTTATGTACGTCAACCCCTTAAAAAGTATACACTGTATTGTTGAGAAAAGAAAAAAAGGAAAAGGAAAACCGAGAGAATCTAAACACCAATACAAAAGAAGAAAACAAAAAAAGGAAGAAGGGAAGGGGAGGGGGAATACATTAAAAAGTGCATTAACTGAAACGTAACATCATTTATTTTGAGATTGAATATAATGATAAAAGATGGGATTTACACATTCGTTTAAAAATATTCAGTGAAGTAGAGTTTTTTATATTAAATGGGATTTTTTTTCACAAAACTGGCCCTTTGAAAAAAAATGTATTTTTAAACATTTGTACGGATTTTAGAAAAAAGAAAATTACCAGCATTACGGGTTTTATAAGAATGTATTTCATAATTGAAAATAAATTTACATGATATGGACCTTGGCAATAATCCCTTAGAACACATAAACATAAATATAGCAATGTTAACTTTATTTATATCATAAACATGTATGCTTTAATTGTTAAAAAAAATGGCAAAGTGTGGGTATTGACGAAATCAATATACCTAGATTAAAACATGCTTGGGCAGATTGGGCTCTCTCGGCCACGAGTCCGAAACTCTGGAATGAACTCCCTCTACAATTACGTCAACTGTCGTCAATAGAAACATAAAAATCACAACTGAAAACTTTTTTGTTCCTTTCGTTGTAATTATTGCAATATTCTAATTTACTATGTCTAGGAGAACTTTTTAAGTGGTCTGTCATCAACAGATCACCTATTGATTTCGTCACAATTTTATTTCTTCTTTATTTTTTATTTATTTCTCCACTTTTTTGTGCAGACGATAGCACTTCGATCGGTATAGTAAATTCCTTTCAATTTTGACACAGTCATAGGTCATCGTCCTAAGATGTGTCCACAACATTTTCAAGTTCATCAAAATATCGTGACGTCATCAAGGCGCCATTTTGTGAAAATCAACTCATGATCATATCTTCATAACAGAAAGTCATTTCTCATTCATATTCACATGCTCAGAGACCCCCCCCCCCCGCATTTGTTTTAAATATTTGGATAGAATATGAGTCAGAGATATAATTTCATGTCTCATTTGGGCATTAAGTAAATCGTGACATCATCATAATGGCCTTGGAAATCATATATGAATTTTGATATTATGACGCTCGCATATTTATGAAAAGTTGATTGTATCTCTGTCATTATTCATCAATTTACTTCTAAATTTTGATATGTTGTAGCTTAGACAAATTTCTACAAGATCTATTGACAACATTTTTCATTTTGATGACGTCATCATAGTGAAGATTTCAATCAAAGGCGACATGTCAGAATTGTCTTAGTTTGCGTGTTATGCCTATTGAAGGTGAATTTCGTTCACATCACGAATCTACATGACTTGCACAGGTGTTTAACATGTGTGGAAGGTGTATAGTAAAAGGCATGAGTTCGCCCTCTAACTGAATATACAGTATAGTTTGACAGTTGACGAAATCACATTAACAGGATACTTTTACAACCGTCATCATCCCTATGACCATCATCATGATTAGCAATGTATACTGCAACATCAATTCGTCCTATATATAAATAAATGATTCTACTCTCCTTCAAAGATGTTAATAGTCTTCCAGTTATTCAGATTAAATAACAGACCACCTAATTATATCCAATGACGAAGTAAATTTCTTTGATTTGTTTTTGTATTTTTCTCTACAGTGGCAGATCCAGGGGGGCACAGGGGGCATGTGCCCCCGGCCCCCAAAAATATGTTAAAATCAGCCCTAAATTCGCCCAAAATGTACTGAAAAAAAAAGGCGTGCCCTCCCGACCCCCCCCCCCCCAAAAAAGGGAAAAAAGTGTCCTCTTACCCCCCCCCCCCCCCCCCCGCTTATTCAACGGCTGGCTGAGTTGATTTTTGGGGGACTGAAAAAATATATATATATGTTCTCTTTCCCACACGGTGCCCCCCCCACCCCTCCCCTGTTAGCCCCCCGGCAAGAAATTCCTGGATCCGCGCCTGCTCTAAGCACTGAAAGGTGGACCTGTGCGCTATACAAGTAGCCACTATCATCATTATTATTTGGTGGTCTGTCATCGACGGACCACCTATTGATTTCGTCAGAATGGTCTTTCTTTCTTTATTATTTCTTTATTTCTCCACTTTTATGTGCAGAAGGGTTCCCAAAATCGGTTCAGCCATTTTCTTTCAATTTTGGCATAGTCATTGGCCATTGTCAGAAGACGTGATAGCAACCTTTTTAAAGTCATCATGTCTTCATGACGTCATCTTGGCGCCATTTTGTGAAAATGAACTCATGATTAATTCATCATATTATCAGAAAGTCATTTCTCATTCATATTTATCATGATGAAGGTCAATATCCATCCGGTCATTTTAAGGGCTATAAACGCCCTCGTACGCATACGTCCGCGCGTAGATTTCAAAATGCTCAAAATCACTTTTTGATCAAAGTAGAGTACGTTTCAGGCCAATTTAAGCATTTATAAACGCTGGTATATAAACTAATATAAACATTTCTTCTTTTCATGCGAGAGTTACACAAACTGATATATCAGATCATTTCCTTATCTTTGTTGCCTTTGAACATCTTACGAAATCTAGTAAAACAAACCACAAAAAGTCTGTGTCTCATACCTTCAGAAATTATGATATCAATACATTTCATGATAATCTAGGTAAAATCTATTGGAATAATGTAAGTGGTTGTACAAAATGTAATGAGTCATACTCTGTATTTTACGACTTGTTTAGTCTGTGACAAGCATGCAACAATACCATCAAATTCGAACAACCTGAATAGGGGAATATACTGGGAGAAAACCATGGATTTTAAAATCGGTCAACAAGAACCACAACTTTTATTCTAAACTAAGGGCATCAGCATTTCAACAGAAAGACGAGGAAGAATACAAGAGTTACATAAATGGTCTCCGAAATGCAAAGAGACAATATTACAGTATTAACCTTTTATCCATTAATAAGAATGACAATTGTAAAACGTGTAAAATCATTAACAAGTTGTTGAGTGGTAGAAATGTCATGAATAAAGTGACCAATGTAGATAAATTATGAACTTTAGGTAGTAGAGAAAATAAAGTGATAACATCTGACAATACAAATTTAACAAGTTTCTTGTAATCATAGGCCATAAGCTGGCAAATGAAATACCAGCAGTGAATTTTGACTCACAGAATAAAGGACATAGAAGAGAAAACTCACTATTTTACAAACCAACAACAGAAAAAGAAGGAAATGCCCCTCACAGAGCTTGGTGATATCATTGCAGATATGCATAATGCCTGAACTAGTACGCAATCAGAATTAGTGACTTGTACATCAGTTGTGCAGTTTTATAGGGAAAATAGGAGATCTAAAATATGTATCGGGAAAATATCCGTTGAAAATGCCATTTTCGAAAAGAAAAACAATTAAACTAATAAAGTCTGTATAATTATGGTCTTGTCGATTAAGTGAGATTGTAATTAAAATAATGACTTTTATCCTAGTCTTAGATTGAAATTCAGTGACAAATAAGACAGTGTTCGATATTAAAGATACTATGTCCCTTTTGCAGCCAACATCAAATTCTGTAGAACTTTGCAGGAATTATGAATATGTCATGTATGTCCTATCTGTGAAATGTAAACGTTAACAGTGTCCTAATATTTAAATTATGCAAAGAAACCCAGACTTCGCTGTCAGACACTAGTGTGACTTACTGGCATTTGTTCTTCTTTGGTAATAACATACATAAAATGAGCTGCAAAGGGTACATGAGCTGATGAGCATTTAACCCACTTCTTGTCATGACCAAAATGAAACTGATTGAATCTTTGCGCAGTATAAAATGTACGACCATTCGGTACAATGGTCTTACAAATCAGACCATTACTTACTGGCTCTATAGCTCTTAAGTCGATTCGACAACTAATAGTTGTTATTTTCCCACTTATAGACATTTACAAGCCTCCCTCCCTTTTTTAGGGAAGTTCTAAATTAGTATTATCTTTCAAATGCCGATGGAATTTAACCTTTTTTTTTGGGGGGGGGGGCCTGCAAATGGGACATAGTAACTAACTTTAAGACCATGCTTTTTAACTTATTCAAAATATGAATTGTTCTATAGTTTTCACGACCCTCGCCAAGTGCCGCAGATTCATCGCTTCATAGGTATTTGTTTCGTATTTCACCAACTTTTCCGAGTAAATTCATTGAAAAGCTTTTCAGTAGTGCAAAATAAGGGCCTTAACTGTCCAGTAATAGGTTAATGATTGGTACGATATTTTCCATCAAACTTGTAATAATTATTTGAAAGAGAAAATAACAAACATGCCAAAACTTGCTTTCATATACACGTCTACTGACTATACCAACTTACAAAATAAAGATTATATAAAGCTTTTTGTTTTAAATTGTCATTTAATAGAAAAATCAATTAGCCCTTTAGGTCTAAATAAAATCATAATAATCAGGTATCACACACAAATAATATCTTTTATCAAACTTGGATTTCTGAACATATTTTGCAGATTTATGTTTTAAGTTTAAAGGAGGAAAACGCCAACCGGTCATATTGCAATTTTCAACTTGTAGACCTAGACATGACACACACACACACACACACACATACATGTAAACGCCTTCAATCGGGGAGGTAGGCAAAACACCATGAAACTGTGGAGGTAATAAATATAGGCTTTATAAGCAATATTTTATCAAATTTGAGGAAAGAAAATCACAATAAGCCCATTCCAATGTCAAAAGATACTAAAAAACGTTTACTTCTTCTTACACATGATTCGTCTGAATTTGAGCTATGAAAGTGCGGTGTCTGCATCTAGTCATTGTCAATCGGGGAAGTAGGCATAAGACC